CCAGTGCATTCACACTGAGCTGCATCCTCAGACCTAAAATTTTGAGACAAGTCTTGCTATACTGCCTAATGTGGGCTTCAATTTGCAATCCTCCTACCTCAGCTTCCCAGACTGCTGGGGTTACAGATAAGTGCCACCAAGCCTAGCTTCAGCAATTCTTTGTCTCGTGTCCTCTGGAAAGGAGCTGTTGGCTTGGCCAGGGGTTTTGTGATAGTGACATTTGGCAGTACCTTCTCATTGGAGTGTTTCTCTGTGTCCACTTGAGCCTCTGTGAGCCTTGTGTCACCACTCAGAGGCAGCTGGTCCACCTGAGTGTAATGCATCCTCTTTTTGGAAGTCCAGCTGTCCTGCCTTTTGCTTTTGCTGGGAGTTTTCATCTTGCTGAACTAATCTTGTTTCCTTTTGCAAGTCTTGCTGGATTGTTAGACTGTCTGACCAGGTGTGCCTGCTTGTTAGCAGATATTTAGTTCACATTTGTCTTGAAATCTACTTATGGACAAGGAGGAGATATATGAGGTTATTGGTAGTCTGCATAGATGAGACTGAATTGGCTTAGAAAATTCTGTTTAGAGTGTAGATTGACTGATTGATGTCAGCTTAAGGGATATTTTGAAGGCTGTCCTCAGCTGCTGGATGTGGTTTTCAGTGCCTTGGATAAATACCTGAGCTACATAGAGTTTTGTAAAATCGAGAGTTAGAATTCTTAGCTAGGCATGGTGGTGCATGCCTGTAATCTCAGCACTTGGAAGGCTGAGACTGAGTTTGAAGTCCCCTGGGCTACGTAGTGAGTTCAAGGCCAGCCTGAACTACAGAGCGGGGAGAGGGAGAGGGAGAGGGAGGGAGATCTTATACTAAAACAAACTTAGACTAAAATAATCAGATGGAAGTGGAATTTAATAGGAATAAATGTAGTTCCAATATAAGGATTCTTAAATTGTTTGAGATTCCCAGAATTCTTTGGGGAAAGGTGAAACACACTTGATATTTTAAAAAGACAAAAAACAGTGTCCAAGGTCTTGGTCAACTAAGCTTGGTACCATCCAGCATCATGTAATGAGACTATGTAAAAAAAAAATCTTTGACTATCTTAATAAAAGATGTCCTAAACAGTGGGAATATTAATTCCACTGAATTGCGGTTGGCCATATTAAGATCTTGTGGTTTATTTCGGATTTCACATTTTTAGAAGGCTATAGGTAAAACGGAGGCCTTTAAAGGATAATGTCTCCCCACCCTTCCCTTCCCTTCCCTTCCCTTCCCTTCCCTTCCCTTCCCTTCCCTTCCCTTC